ACTGCAGTCCTAGAGATAACTCTGAGTTAAAGCGTAATCACGTAATATATGAATTTAATTGCCCCTTTGACGGCTGAGACGTGCATCATCTTGTATTACAGAAATCACATGTCAACAGCATACAAGGTAGATAAAGCTATTCTTAAGCATATCATAAGCATATCATATCATGTGTATTTGTGTAAATATAAGCCATGCTTTTGACTTGAATGCGTCACATTGTGTGCGTGTGTGTACGTGTGCAGAAAACTTTATGTTGAGGTAAGGAAAATTCATTCGGGCAGGTAATCTTCCAACAATAAGATCTTAATTATCTTTAATCAAAATCAATTAACATTAGCTGGGAAAATAATTTTTTGCAAGCATTTCATTGGCAATATTAGAACTTTATCTTATTATATTAAATGAATAACTTTAACACAAACACATTCGCGTGTCTATATGAACACTCAAAGTAGAATGAGCACAAATTATAGAACAAACAAACAAACAAATAAACAAATGAACGAACAAACAAAAGAACGAACGAAACGGAAGAACGAACGAAACAAACAAACTCATAGATGCAATACCAACCAACCAGAAACGACAAATGCACATGCAAACATCTTTGTTGTATTTTGTTTAAAAAAAACTTTTACTACGAATTGCAAAACAAAATTCTTTAATAGAGGGTCGTCATTTTTTTCAGAGAATAATATTAATTTGTTTTTATTTAAAAAGAGAATACGGAAAAAATTCTCGACTCGAAAAATGTTATTTAATTTATAAAAGAAATACAGAAAATTAGATCAACAAATAATAAAATACAAAAGACAACAAAAACAGAACAGTGAAAAAAACGTTGTCATCATGTTTCCTATTGGGCAAATAAAGAAGCATGATAAAGTTTAAGTCTACAGAATTTCAACGCATTAAAGGCAACCTACGCCCGAACACGAACAGACGGTACATGCACAATTGCAAGCAAATAAAATTTTTATCAATCTATTCAAACGCCAATAAATACAAAATTATTAAAAAAAAATTGAAAAGTATTATTAAATTATAAAAATTGAACTATAGCAATTGTCATGAAAACTTAAAAAATTAATTTGCGTCATTAAGTTTTATATATTCAGCTCACAAATTGATGCTAACCTGAAAATGACTATTCCTATTTTAAAAGACTAAAAATCTGATGTGTCTTGTGCATATTGAAAATTAATGCCTCACATCGTAGCTCAACTTGTTTCGTAATTAGTGTTTAGGTTGAGAAAATGTGTCAGGATGGTAGCGCTAGATTTTATGTCTTTAAGGTAGAACGCTGTGGTATTTTTAAATTAAAAAAAATTGTAATCTTCCTCAAACAACTCGTTAAGTATATAATTTAATTCAGGGGTGGGAAAATTTTTGCTGAGAGGGCCGCATTGAAAATTTTTTTACCTTCGAAGGGCCGCAAATGTACTTAAATAGCAAATTTTTTCGACCCAGGGGCCTTTTTGGTGAACAAGGCCTCGCGAGTAACATGAAATAGCTCCGCGGGCCGCAGTTTGCCCCCTTCCCGATTTAATTCATTAATCATATAACTTGTTAAATAAATAAATAAAAAGATAAACTGCTCTGGTAGATAAATTGAACAAATATAATAAAACAATAAACAATAAAATAAATTGCTGCATTTTATTGCTCGCATACATCTAAAAATGATGCCACACGCGTAAGTGTTTGATGAAACACAAAAAAATCAGTCGTGAATTGCATTGCGTTGCAAATAGATATTTGCATATGAGCCTTTGAAAACAAAACTACAGCTGATGTTATTATCAATGTGTCTATATTGCTTGGAACAGAATTTTTTCCAGAATTTAAAGAATTATTTCGAATAGTAGATTGGGTAAACAACGGAGTCTGTTTATTTCATCAGTGTAATGAGATTGCTGGGCTGGGTTTGTAAGAGACGAAATCGAGTAATTTAAATAAATAAATAAAAAATCAAATAAATTTATTGAATGAAGCATATTCTATATTTTTATAGCATAAAGAATTTTTTCAAGTTTTTCTGTTAAATAGCACACACGCAAGTAAAGGCGAAATCGCTCAGGCATGTTTCAAGAAAACAGCAGCATCAACGACAACAACAGCAGTAGCTACAACAATAGCAACACAACAGCAACACAACAACAACAGCAACACAATAACAACTGCAGCACAATAACAACTGCAACACAACAACAACTGCAACACAACAACTGCAACACAACAACAACAACTGCAACACAACAACAACAACAATTTCATCGTCACAACCATTATTATCATTGCTGATGTCATCACAGTCCTCATTTTAATCATCGTTATCACGTTGTTACTAATGCCATCACCTTCGTCATCGTTGTAGTCATCATCATTGTAATAATAACCTTTCTCATTGTCATCGTGATAACCTTTCTCATTATCATTATCACTCAAACATAGGCGGTCTCACCCAACCATCACAAATGTAATTGATATTTTATGCTCTGGTTTGCGTGTGTGTGTGTTTGTTGTGTGTGTGGGAATGTGCGTGTGGAAATGTATATGTGTGTGTTGTGTTTGTGCGTGTGTATATGTTTGCATGTGCGTTAGTGTCTTAATAGTATGAAATAGTGTGAATGTGTCTGTATCTGTCTGTATCTGTATCGAAGGAAGCATTGTGACTTCAGAAGCGCTTGCTTCATTCGAGAATGTCAAAACAAATGATGTTTCAAACGTTTCTTTGAACATGTCGGCTCGTGTTGTTGAATTTCTTCAAACTACAGGTAGAGAGTTCCAGGTTTTTGCAGATGAAGCAGAAAATCTCCTCTTCCCAAAACGAGACGAATTGGATTTAAAAAGCACAAGATCACCATCATCGGATGATCTCAGTCGACTGGGATTTGTAATTTCTGAAACTAATTGTAGTCGTTCTTTCAAATAAGTTGGAGTGACCAGAAGAGCCAGTTTGAAAACGAGATTTTTTCTGGCATGAGGAGCCAATGTAGAACATTCCTGTGTGTGTACATATAAGCTTGAATCAAAGCTTCTAGTTGTGATTAACAAATACAACTGACTGATACACATAAATGCAGACGGACATACAGACATAGACGTACACACGCACACAGACGTACACGCAGACGTATTCACGCATTCCTTCGCGCATGCCTGGATACACTGAAAAATATAAAGCCCTCTTGCATGGTTGCACACGGGCGATGTTTCGTACAGAGGAGCTGCGGTCATTCACTCAGATGTTGTGTTGGTGGTTCATTCTGAATTGTATTAAAATGTGAAAAGTAATTTACTTACAATTTAATACTGTATACTATGCTGTTTTGTTTATTTTTGACCTTAGTACATGCGCGTGTGTGCACATTTGTGTGTGTGCAAATGTGTGTACGTGTATACAATATCTGATGACCAATTCATTCGATGACCCTCCAAAAATGAATGTTAAAGTCCAGAAAAGATTTGTGCGTTAACGACCAGTTAAATGAAAACTTGAGAGGTTGATGCTCTGAGTTTGATGTGATTTAAAATGCAAATTTGATTCCTCCAGCCTCGTTCCTCTAACTTGTTTTACTTGTATAACTTGTTTTTTTTTTATTTTGTGATAGGAATAGATTTACGTTTTCCAACTGGCTGTCATTCCAGTGCCTCAACAGGCATTCATTACACGTTCTAACAGGGTTCATTTATTCACATTCTGTTTTTGAATCCAAGACGCTCTTTAGATAATCTATATTATCGAGATAGGCTTTATTTGGAAACACATTGAAAACAAATTTGGAGGACGTATGACTCGCACACGTAGAAACACACGCAAACAAAAATGTTGCAAGTTGTTGACAAAGGAGAAAATTTGCACTGGTGGCCATAATTTAAATTGAGAGACGATGAATTTTTTATCCATCCATCAGTCAATGTAATTTGATTGTTATACCGCTCGTCTCGTCTGCTCCAAGTAACCGAAAGATTTTATTTATTCATCCGTTCGTTCATTCGTTTGTTCATATGTTCATTCGTTCGTTCGTTTGTTCATATGTTCATTCGTTCGTTCTTTGTTGTTCTGGGCCGGAAAAAACCATTCTGGAATTTTATAATTGTTATTGTCGTTATTATTGTTGTAGTTTTGTGCTGTCGTCGGCGCGGTGTTAACCTGTCTTTTTTCATTGCTGTGGAAAATTTTAACCTTGCTGTTGTTGTTGTTGTAGTTGTTGTTGTTGTAAATATATGTGAATGTAGCAAAGTAAAGCATGTTTGTGTGTGTTGTGCGTATCTGTGTGTGTGTGTGTGTGTCTGTGTGTGTGTGTGTGTGTGTGTGTGTTAATTACTAACTTTCATAAAGATAGATTTTTTTGCAAAGTTTTTCTGATTTTCAAGAATAATATATCCTGAAAATTTTTAACTCTCACAATGGTGTTCATATATTTAATTAAATTTCTTTATTGAATTCTTTCGCTATTCAACCTTTAATTCCTTTGATTTAGTATTACACTCTCACTCACTCACTCACTCACTCACTCACTCACTCACTCACTCACTCACTCACTCACTCACTCACTCACTCACTCACTCACTCACTCACTCACTCACTCACTCACTCACTCACTCACTCACTCACTCACTCACTCACTCACTCACTCACTCACTCACTCACGATTTATTTTCATTTGCCTCAAGAAGAACGTTTGTTTGTTATTTCAATTTAAGTTTCTGGGTTGTTTTTCTCTTTCTCTCTCTCTCTCTCTCTCTCTCTCTCTTTCTCTCGCTCTCCCTTTCCCCCTTCTCTATCTTTCTCCCTCTCACTTTCTCTCTCTCTTCACATGGCCTACCTGATGAAGAAGATGATTGTTAGTAAGATGATTACTTATGACATAGATAATGATATTGATGACAACGTATGATGATGAAGATGATGAAGATGAAATGAATGATGAAGATGCTGACTAAGATTATGCAAATAACTAATGTAAAATTTACAGACGGTGATTTAGATCATGATGACGTATTTTTTTACAGATGATAACATAGGATTATGACAGATGATGAAAAATATGACAACGCTAATGATAATGTAGATGGCTAAATTGGTGACGTGATGGTTTGAACGATGACGTAGATGATGACGTATTTATGGCGCGTATAGTTAAAAATTAATGAGGCATGTAATGGCCTCTATGTGATGGTATACATGAACGTGACGTGTTTATCAACAGCTGTTATTTTGATCTTTGGGGTACAACTTGATCATTTCAGCATTATCATTATTGTCCAGTTGGTCATCGTTATCACCATCATCACTGTCCAGTCATCATCATCCTCATCCTCCTCATCATCATCACTGTCCAATCATCATCATCCTCATCCTCATCATCATCATCATCACCATCATCACTGTCCAGTCATCATCATCCTCATCCTCATCATCATCATCACTGTCCAATCATCATCATCCTCATCCTCATCATCATCATTATCACCATCATCACTGTCCAGTCATCATCATCCTCATCCTCCTCATCATCATCATCACCATCATCACTGTCCAGTCATCATCATCCTCATCATCATCATCATCACCATCATCACTGTCCAGTCATCATCATCCTCATCCTCATCATCATCATCATCATCACTGTCCAATCATCATCGTCTTCATCATCAATCTCTACTCACCAATTGTAGTTAATCAATGTTGTTGTTGTTATCACCGCGCGAATCACTTTTTTGCTCATCATCGCTACAAAAATGTCGTTGTCCTTATAATTAAAGCTTGCACCAAAAGAGCATCATCATCATTCTTATTTCTATCCTAATTTTGTATTCATTATCATTTTCCTAATTTTCATCATTAACAGCATCTTTTTTTCCTATCCTTGGAAAACCTTTTGACGTCATCATTATTATTATCATCGTCATCGTCACCATCGTCATCATCTTCATCATTATTAATATTGTCATTATAATTTTTTCCACCCTAAATATCACCATCATCATCATCCTTACCGAATGTTCTTCCTGTTTTTATTTTCCGACTCATTAAATTAACATCAGAACTATCTTACAATCGTCATCAATTTCTTTAATCATCGTCATCATCATCTTCTTCTTCATCATCGTCACTATCACATTGTCTTTATATCATTACTTCAAAATTACTCACTAATAATCACTTTATTAATAGTTAACTCATCTTCCATCATCAACTTATAACCAGCATCATCGTTATTTTAGTCATTATATTATCGCATTTACATTGTTTATGTTATAACATTAAGACTGTGCTCATCATTATCATCATCATTACAGTAACATAGTCATACCTATCTTCACCATACAATACTACACCATACCACACCACACTACGCAGGCAACACAGCCCTGATGTATAGTTGCACTGTTGGCAATGACACAGCAACAGAAATCATTTTGAAGTCTTTCAGAAGATTAGGTATTGTATATTATATTGCCTACGCTTATACACTTTTATATCATCTGTCTGTCTGTCTGTCTGTCTGTCTGTCTGTCTCTCTATCTATCTATCCACCCATTTATCTATCGATCCATCCATTTCTATCATCCAGGTTTAAACGTCGACAACGTAAACAAGGAAGGCTACACTGCCCTGATGTTGGCAGCGATAAATTTGAACTGGGAATGCGCGAGCCTATTGGCTATCGAGGGCAGGGCTGACCTAACACTCTGCGATCCTATTGGTCGAACGGCCCAGCAAATTGCAATAGAGGCTGGAGCTTCTAGGTAATTTCAATTATTAGTTTTATTATTATTAGTAGTAGTAGTTGTAGTAGTAGTAGTAGAGTAGTAGTATTGGTAGTAGTCGTCGTCGTTGTAGTAGCAGTAGTGGCAGCAGCAGTATTATTATCAGTAGTAACATCGATGCTAACAACAACAATAATAATAATATGCAATAAAAACAATTCATCGAACGCAGAGCTCAGGTCCTGCCATTTTCCATCACATCCCGGAAGTTGAACAGATGCAAAGTAGCAAGATATAGGGCACTGGTCCGTGATGACGACGGAGATGACGACGACGAGGATGACGATGGTGAAGTTGCTGCTGCTGCTGCTGCTAGTGGTGGTAGTGGGATCAATGGTGAAGAATATGGAGATGAGGTTGATGAAAATAGCTTTGATACACGCTCTGAAAGAAAGTCTCCCAGAGTTACTATCAATGACATGGATGCCAAATTTGGAAAATATCGACAAATTATTAAGGATGATAATTGTAGTGGCAGCGTCAGTAACAACCTTAATGATAATAAAAATTTTGATGATAATAATAATGATGATGATGATGATGATAACAATAGTAATGATGATAATAACAATAGTAATCATGAATCTTCCGTTTTGGATATTAGAGAAAGGGCAGTCAATCAAAATCGTAGGATTAAAAGTTCCGATTTCGGAGAAAATCTTACAAAATCTGCAAGGTAATTTGCTGTGATACGGTTTTTCAAAATTATGTTCCTCTATTAATTGTAGCATATCTAGGATAGAAGTATTAGCATTTTGTGTCAATTTTGTTTGAAATAACTCTAAAAATGGATATAAATTGTAACAATGAATTTACGTGGCAATGATGATAACTTTTTGTTCTTCTCTCTAAAAACTTAGCAGGAACTCTCCTCATGCTGTTTCTCCGTCTCCGGGAAAGACCATGGCATCCAAATTCTTCAACACGTTCATATCAGGTGCCATTTGCTCGTCGGGGTTCGGCAAGTTGAAATTCAAAAAGGCAAAATCCAATATTCTGGGTTCTAAGGAAAGAAATGCTATGCATGCATCTTCAGAGTTTAAGAAGAGCGCCAAAACTGAAAGCATAATCAAGACTGATTCTGATTTGGATTCACTTCGTATCTCAAAGGTGGAGCGTTTGCGTTTGAACCGCGAATTTGATGGCGATCGTTTAAGTTTCAACGAGCGGCGTCTCAACTCCATGGATGAATCCATTTTTTGGATAAGGAAATAAATTTTCGACTTGATTTTTTTGTAAAATATCTATATTTCATAATATTTGACCCAAGAATAATTGGAAAAATGTAACAGATTGAATGCATTTATTTTTTTTAAATAAAATTGACGTTGATACGAATGAATTCGTTTTGTTTAATTGACTTTTGTAAAATAAATTATATAAAAAAGAAGGTCTTTCAAGTATATAGGTTTCAATATCACACAACCAAGTAAACTTGTTTTATTTTCAACATTGGGAATCGAAACAAATTTTAAACAAGAAAGAAAATTTAAATAAACATATAGACTTACCAAATTATTAAACTATTTCTACCAACATCAATCTTTATTGCTCTATTATTTTATTATTTATAAATGATAAATGAAGCAGTGGTAATTATAGCGCTGGTAATTTATGCAGTGATTTGCCCGATTGGTAATCTTATTCTAAGTACTTAATGACCTGCCCCTGTTGGAATTTTTCCGGTGGTCTTTAATGAAATATTTGCTGGAATCTTTTGTGAGTTTTAAAATCAAATTTGTTTTTTTTTGTTAGAGAATTTAATGGCGCATTTTTTTTCATTAAAATATTCATTCAATTTGGGGGATTTTTACGGCAAATGTCGTTTGCAAATGGTTGTCAAGCAGAGCTTTATTTTTGCTGGCATAGTTGTCAATCAGATCTCGTTTATTAAACAGTTTTCATTTGGGCTTTAATTTTATTTTAAAAGTTGAAACAATCAACATTTCACATTTATCGGAAGATGACGTGTAAGCAGTTTGGGAGTTTAAAAAAGTTGCAGTCTAGCAATTGAGATCATCACTGAGTAAGTGAACAACCAATGACTGGTTGGTAGCTTTCAGCAGCTGACTTCAAAATGGCGAAGCCACTTATATGAATGTAAATCATTCTTTTATTAAGAAAGCAGTTCAAAATGCACTAATTGGGTGTTGTTAGATCACTAATCTAATGCTAGATTTTCTTAGAAGTTGCAGATTCATTTGAAGGTCATTAGTAGAACATCCGTGTTGCTAGTTGCATGAATGGTGTATAATCATCATGTAGACAGATATTTATCATGCTTTATTTATTTCTTATTCTTACTCTTATATGAATACAGTTGATTCATTTCCTATCAATCAAATATTATATATAATATGTTGTGTACATATTGGACAAAATTATTAATTTAATGCTCCACTAAAATAATTATTTTATGTTAAAAATATGCAATAATAGAAGGTTTGATCATTAAAAAAAAATTTGTATGTTATTGAGAATTAGCAAATATTATCTTATAGACTTGAAAATTATCTTACTAAAAATTATTGGATTATGGAGGTTAGTAATTAAGACATTTATATTACAGTTTTGAGAAATAAAGAAATCTGACCAAGAAACATGGCTTCACTTTTGAAGACAAGTCGTCTGGTAGTTAATGGAGGTTGTAATCTTCTTTCGAAAACTGTCCTGCCCTCTGCCACAACAATTCGTCTGAAACATGCCACTGGCAAGAAGAGTAGCATCTATGAGCAGGGGGGTCCAAAGTACAGGGGCATTGAGCTCCTCAGGGATCCATCTGTCAACAAGGTTTGTTTCACATCTTGAGTACTTTTGAAATAATAATTATTGTAATAATGTGTAATTCTTTATATTTAACATGAGTTTTAACATCATTTGTTTATTTATTTTAAACATTTTGAACTCAGTTCATTCCATTAGACTTGAAAAAAAAATTATACTCATAATATAGTTTGCCAAATGACATACCAGGGCACAGCCTTCACCTTGAAGGAGCGTCAGTTGTTGGGCATCCATGGACTCCTTCCACCTGTCGTGTTCAGCCAACAGGAGCAACTTCAACGTGTGCTTGCCAACTTCAGGCGCTGCAACACGGATCTCGACAAGTTCATCTACCTCTCCAGTCTGCAGGATCGTAATGAAAAATTGTTCTACCAGGTGCATTCCTCATTTTAGATATTGTTGAAACATTTGTTTCAAACTTTGAAATTTTTAGTTTCAGTTTTTATTAAATTAATTGTTTAATTTATCAAATTTGTTTTTTTACTTTGCACTCAGCTTGTGTCAGAGAACATAGAAGAGATGGCTCCAATTATATACACGCCAACTGTTGGATTGGCTTGCCAAAAATATGGATTCATATTCAGAAAACCCAGGTAGGTAGTTGTTATATTTAATCATTCATTCATCATTAACTATTGATAATATTAAGTTTATAATTGTTGGTTGCAGGCTGGAGTTTGATGCTTACTTACTATATGTGGTCATTAAACATTTAAATTACATTATTTCTATATAAGTTCAGTAAACTTTGGCTAACAGATCTTTGACTTTTGAAAAGAGAGCTATATTTAAATGGTTATCACTATCATTAAAACCTGTCACAATGATTATCACTAGTTGCTTCTACACATATTAGCAACCAACCTTAATTTTACACAAAAAATGTACACCTCTGCATCAGCATCTGCACACATAAAGATGAATCCATGATGGCACACAAACACACGAGCATATTCTCTTTCTCACACACAGAGGTCTGTACATCACAATCAACGATCTTGGCCACGTCAACGAGATTCTCAGCAACTGGCCAGAGTCCAACGTCAAGGCTATTGTGGTGACAGACGGTGAGAGAATTTTAGGTCTCGGTGACTTGGGTGCATTTGGAATGGGAATTCCAGTTGGAAAGTTGTCATTGTACACTGCTATGGGAGGTGTCCCACCAGATCAATGCCTCCCTGTTGTCCTTGATGTTGGAACTGATAATGATGTGAGGGTTTTTTTTCATCCATTTTATCTTTGATTCATCTTTTTGCTATTCAATTGTTTATTTGTTTCTTTGGTTAAGCTAATGTTTAAAAATTTGATGTTTTTCGTTCAATTATTGATGTACACTTTGTAATAATTTAAGATTGTCATTCTGTATGATCATTGAAGCAAATGTAAACAACTGAACATTTAGTTTTATTTGATTTAGGTTTGGTTGTGTTTGATATAGACCAACATAGCATATTTCAACCATCACATGGGATCGTATTCATTCTCTTTGCTGTTGTCCAATTATTACCTTGGAACTGCAATCATCATTCATTATATATTTATATATATATATTTCTATATATATATTTCTATATACATATTTGTATTTGTAACTTTGTATTACATAGGTAGGTATTTATTCAGAAAACTAATAGGCTATTTGAACCTATATATGCTGGTTATTTAATTAATTATCTATATCCTCTATTATTATCTTGCGTGATGATGATGATGCTAAAATAATAATAATAAAAATGTTTAATGATAATTATTATTTATGTTACTTTTGTAACAGCTGTCCTATCAGCTGAGATAAAGTTTACAGGAAATCAAATTAGATTAACATGAAGAAAAAGTTAAATTAAATGAAATATTTCAAGTGTTAAAAAACCTGTTTATGTATATGTCTATATGTCTGTATGTATGAATATGAATGTGTAGGCTTACACACACGCACATACACACACACACGTACATAACACACACACATTTGTATATATATTTATTTTTTGCAAAACACAGGCCCTGCTGGACGACCCCATGTACATTGGGTTGAGGCACAAAAGAGTCAGGGGTCACAAGTATGACATGCTCATTGAGGAGTTCATGGAAGCTGTTGTTAAAAAGTTTGTTGTTTGTTTGTTGTTGTTATCGTTGCTACCGTTTGTGTTGTTGTTATTGCTGTTGTATTGTATTGTTGGTTGTTGGTGATAGTTCTTTCTTGTCTGGAACTTTATATGTTATAACTTATTATTTGAATTTGTTGTTTCTAATAGTTAATTGCTAGAATATCAGTCCTCTCCCGTGAAATACATTTCAGATATGGACAAGGTACCCTGGTGCAATTTGAAGATTTTGCAAACTCCAATGCATTCCGTCTGCTGGCCAAGTACAGAAACAAGTACCTGACATTTAACGACGACATCCAAGGTTGGTTGGTTGATTGAACAGTTGATTGGACACCACTTTGTATACTACTACTACTACTACTACTACTACTACTACTACTACTACTACTACTATTACTACTACTGCTACTACTACTACTACTGCTACTACTACTACTACTACTACTACTACCAGGTACAGCTTCAGTAGCAGTTGCTGGAATCATTGCAGCCATGAGAATCACAAAGACAAAGTTATCTGACCACAAGTTTCTTTTCCAGGGAGCTGGAGAGGTTAGTTTCTGGATAGTTTGTGGTCTGCTGTTCAATAACTGGTCGATTCGTTATCACTTACTGATTGGTTCATTGATTAGTGTATATCATTTATTGATTAGTGTATATTGTTGGCTAGTGTATAATATAACAAAAATTTTCTGACAAGGCCTCAATTGGCATAGCTGACCTGCTGGTGATGGCCATGAGATCAGAAGGAACAAGCAAGGAAGATGCCATCTCGAAGATTTGGATGGTTGATTCCAAGGGCCTGCTTGTCAAGGTTCAAATGTTTATCCTCTGTTCTACTCCTGTGTTATTTGACTGATTCATACGTTCATTCATTCATTTATTCAATTATCAGATGCTTCGTTTGAAAATTTGATTAATCAGTCAGTCAATTGATATATTTAGTAATAAGCTCACAATATGATTATTTAACCATTTAAATGCCTCTCAAAAATTTCCCTTATAACACTTGAAACCACTCCCACTGCATGAGAATATTACAGAATGAAATTGAATTTAGTGAAATAAATTTTGATGTTATAACAGAACAGATCAAGTGGAGGCATCACTCACCACAAGGCAGTGTACGCGAAGGAGTTTCAGGAGCTGAAGAACCTGGAAGAGATCTGTGAGGTGATCAAACCAACAGCAGCAATTGGAGCAGCTGCCATCAAGGGAGCATTCACTGAGAAGTTCATCAAAACCATGGGAGACAACAATGAGACACCAATCATCTTTGCACTGAGCAACCCAACTTCAAAGGCCGAGTGCTCTGCTGAACAGGCCTATCGTATCACTGAGGTAGGCCAGCTACGCATTGCTTGCTTGTTTATACTTTGAGGGGCTGTTTTGTGTTCTTGCACTTATTAAATTTTAAGTTGAACATGATGTCATTGTCTATTTTAGACAGTATATTTAGTATATGTTTGGTATACTTATAAAAAATTCAAACTAAATGATGTGAAGAGTTACATGAACATGACAATTGCACAGACACACAAGCAAGCAGACACATACATAAATTATCTCCAATCAGGGTCGTTGCATCTTTGCATCAGGAAGTCCATTTGACCCAGTTGAAATCAATGGAAAAGTTCTGCATCCAGGTCAGGGCAACAATGCCTACATCTTCCCTGGTGTTGCTCTCGGAGCTATCGTGTCCGGTGTCCACCATGTCACCGATGAGATGTTCTTGAAGGCATCCGAGGTAGCTGGCATGGTTGTGGTTTTGTTCGTTTTGAGATGGAAATGATGTGGAAATAGTTGTAGAGGTTATTATTTGTTTGATGTAATTACCTGAGAAATAGAAATATTGGACAGTCATATTTAATTATCAATTTCTTCAGTACCAGTTATTCGTTTGCGTCATATTAATGAAACAGGCCCTGGCAGAGATGGTTACAGAGAGTGATCTGAAAGAGGGTCGTGTCTACCCTCCCCTGCACACCGTACGAGATGTCTCCACTAAGCTCGCCACCAAGATTGTCGAGTATGCCTACAAGGTTGGTCTCACTGTTTGTTGATGTGGTTTGTTTGGAGGGTTTCAAGTGTCTCATTAGTATGTCAGTCTGATTGCTGGTCAGAAGTTAATATCAGTAACATTGCTTGTTATTGACCTCGTCATCGTCATTTAGAATTTGGTATTTTACCATATGGTATTTTACCATATGGTATTTTACCATTTAGTATTTTACCATATTATACCATCTCCGCACAATAAACAACAGGAACAGCTTGCTGAGACCTACCCGGAGCCGGAGAACAAGGAGGCATTCGTGCGCGACTACCAGTACCAGTCAGATTACGAATCATTCATCCCCAACACCTACCCGTGGCCAGGAATGAATGAGTGATTGAGCGAGTAATAAAGGGATAAACATTTCTCTAATTATGACGATGTTGAAGGTGATTATGATTATGATGATGGTGAAGAAGTTGACGATGATAATGAGGAAGGTGGTGATGATAGTGAAGTAGAATAGTGAAGTAATTATGACGATGTTGAAGGTGATTATGATTATGATGATGGTGAAGAAGTTGACGATGATAATGAGGAAGGTGGTGATGATAGTGAAGTAGATTAAAAGAATCAATTAATGAATACTTATAATATGCTGATAAGAGCGATTATTTTGAAATTATTTTGAAGAGATAAGAATAATTGTTAAGAAAAATCAGAGGCATTTTTTTAAAATAATAGTGACTCGTGTTTGTGTGCGTGCGCGTGTGTTGGTCTGTATCTGTATATGATTTATATACATGTTTGCAACATGCATCATGTAGATAAGAGGAACTAAGGGTCATTAATTTTTTATTTGGTGTTAATTTTAACATGCTTTAATGCATTAATAATAATGATATACAAATACATGTATTTTATACATGCTGAAAATTCATCGTTTATATTTAAAAGGTTTTTAATATTTTTGTTCAGTCTACATCATTTATAATCATTTTATTTATTTCCAGTAGAATTGGGCTACAGTTTTTTTTTTGTATCTTGTTACTTTTTCAATTTTTTCTCTCTTAAGACGTCAAACGAATAAGGATTCTGCAGTTGGAAAAATTCATTCTGATTTATCATCATGACTGCTTATGAGGAAGTTGTTTTGTTGAATATTTGTCTGTTTTACTTTATTTGTGTTGTTTGAAGTGTCGTCGTTTGTTACTGTTGTTATATACACACGTATGTATATATATATATATATATATATATATATATATATATATATGTATATATTTATATATGTATATATATGCATTATTAATCATTGTTAAATGTTCGTAGATACATTACCAGAATGGTTAACGACATGATTTTTAGTGTTCGATCGATGTTTAATCTTGTAATCGATCCGTTCGTTCGTTTGTTCGTTCGTTCTTTTGTTAGTTCTTCATCACATTCGGAGTGGGTTTTTGGCATTTTCTCTTTGTTTAGAGAGGGTTTTCAAACGCAAGCTTCTCATCTTTATTAGCTGTTGTTGTTTCATCATTCTATTTTTCCTATTTTGTCGATTTTTGTTCGATATTTTTTCTAACCACAATCAGATTTTGCTTTTCTCCAACAGTCAAGACAAGAGAAACATACTTAAATTACGTGCAGGCAGATGTACGTATGTACAGTGCACGGCTCATGTCTACGCAATTGTTACTTATGCATTGCCCCCTTTTAATCATACACCCTCATCTGTTTATTACAGTGAATATATTTATATTATCTATATTTATATTATCCATATTTATAGTTGATGTAGGATTATAATTAAGAGTAGTAATAATAATTATTGTTTGGTATAGTTATCATTATTACTATTTATTATTGATGTGACATTTACATGACTCCTGTTCTAATGCAATAATAATAGCAGGGTGGTTTTGTTTTGACAGAAGCGTTTTGTTTTTTTTTTAAGTTGTGTTTACACAAAATTTTCGTTGTAGGCTAATTTTAAATAATTATCTGACAAATATTATGAAAAATTTATAATAATTATTGTTATTATTTTATTTATATTATTATTTATGTTAAATTTTTTTCAGTAAGGTTACATAGAATTTATCATCTGATCATTTTTAGTTGTTTTTTTTACATGTATGCTGTAATTCTCCTTACGTTCATGATGGTTCTTATACACTCATTTGTTGTTAATTAGGCTAATTATATTCATATTTTTATTAATTCATTTATTCATTCATTCATTCGATCGATCGATCGATCACTCATTTATTTATTCGTTCATTCATCGTCTATATATTCGTATTAGATCATATTGTTGTATTTACACTTAACGTTTAACCATTTATTGACGCGGCCATTGATATTGATGACATTATAACACAACGCTAAGTACATCTCAGTTCCATTACTATTTCATTGCTAAAACACCTCGTTTGGTTTCCCTTAAGATGTTTAATAAATTGAAAATTAAAATTAATACGGTATGTTGGATTAAAATTAATATAATTATTGAAATTTCGTACGTTTATATCGAGAAAACTTATGCCGTATAGAATCTCTTCTGATTAGGGTTTATTGTGTTTGACTTTGTTTTGTTTTTAGATGAATGAATAAATAAATAATCATTATTTTAAACTTATTTTTTTCCTAGATTTAATGAAGATTTTGTGGCAGTTTCATAATAAAATAGTTTTGTTAACTCTGATAGTTCGTTATTAATGATTGTTACAGACGCGTAATCTATTTGTATGTTATTCCGTTATCAGATCAGATCCGCGTTGTAACTTTTTTTTACCACTAAATTAAAAGTATTTTTTTTTGAGTAAATTTGTTGAGATAAAATTATTTAAAAAGCTTCAATTTTCAAACGACATTTAGAAAATTATGACCTGTAATGAATTTATTTGTTTGTGTCTTAACGATAACAAGCTTAACGAAGCTTACTACTCTGTTGGCCATTGTGTTAGGTAGGATCTACCAAAAACCATTTATTAATCAGATTTCTTCTTTCTTCTGATATCCTTTCAGTCAAGATATATAGCCCTCTTAATTTCTTCAAATAATGTCAAAAAACGTTTTATATTTTTATTTACGCTCTGTCTCAAATTTGGCTCTGATTGTACCTAATATGTAGAGGTATCACCAATATATGAAAAGGTAGGAAATATTGTTAAATATTATAGATTGGTATGGTATAATTAACATGCATTTTTTGTAAACTTACGTGATTTATTATCTTTTTAAAACAATAATTTATTTGATAACGGACAGTGGAATTTTATTAATGTTAAATAAGCAGTTTTTTAATTGTAAGTGTTGATGGATGGTTGTGTAAAGAGTAAAGACTACGGATGATTACCGCGGTATGTCTCCGTTTTTAGCATTATACCAAAGAAAACAAAAAACATATATTGTTACAGCATCTATGGTTCACACTTAATTCACTTCGTGGCTAATTTAAAAGTTAATTTCGTCTGTATAACTGTGAGAATTTTTTAATTTTTTACCCATTAAAAAACATAATTAAATAATTAAATTAGTTAGTTAAAGTACGTGTGGGCTCAAAAACAGTTTTAAATTTAAATTTATTGCTAGTTTAATTATATTGCTGCTATATTTTTGCTATGCTGCCACTGTCACTGACTCCACTCCAAATAAATAACTTTTTTTTCACACAACAACTCAACTTCAAAAGTCTTTACTAAGGTTTTTTTAAATTAATATTAATTAATAATGACGTTATTATCTTCACTTATTAAGTTTAATTTAGTTTTAAAAGTAAACTAACCTAACCACTAAGACTAGGGTATTAAACTATTAATATTACTCATATTATAATACAATAAGACTATTACTGACCTACAGCTGCTATTTTGCTCTTCTAGCTAAATAGAGAAACTAAAACTGTAGGTGTGGTAGATAGTGTTAGCGTAGTAGGCTGGTAAGTGGTACTACACTACACCAGTAAGTAACTTACTAGTAGGTAGATTAAAAATAGAAAGCTAAACTGAAAGAACAGGAAACGACTTTGCCCATCTCCTTAATTAAATAATAAATAAGATAGAAAAGTTATATTTCTGTATAATGTTTTAATTTAAATTCATATTTTCATTTTGATTTTTCTATAAATAACTTTTGTGGTTAATATCTAGCATTAGATCTCCCACACTACATCACAGCCCACTACAGTACAGTGTCTGTTGTCACCACTGCCTCGTTAAGAAGTTGCTAAACTGTCAGTGCCAAACAAGATGAATGGTTTGTGGAGTGTTCCGGCAGTGCTGTCATTCATAGCGTGGTGCATATCGAGCTTCCTCTGCCTATTCATGAACAAGTACACTCTCTCCACTTTGGGAGTAGAGGCATTTTTTTTCTGTTAGTTTTGTTTTGCAGATTGTCTGAAACTAACTGATTGGTGAATGTTTTTCTGTTGTTAATTGATTTTAATGGATGTTGAAAATATAAACTTGTTGGGCAATTATTTTTAAAAAATATGGTTGCTGATTGGATAAATTACAAATTTATTAAATCTGTGGTCCTTAGTTTGCAATATTATGGAAACCTGAACATGCATGCATAATAATATTCAACAGTTAATCATTGTAAGCGAATTTATCTGGAATGAGATATGAATCTGGTTGTGTCCTACACTTATAAAAATTATTTCTGTTCATCCTCAATTTAATTAAGTTGATCAACATGAATTATACTTGCAAATGATGTTGGTCTGGTTGGGGGTTAAATAAATAGGTCGATCATTTAACTAATTCTTCTTAACTTTCATCAAAATCCAAACAGCTTTGATTCAGATAGCAGTGAGTGTGGTGCTTGGCTTCATAAACATGTACATCCCTTGCTACATGGGCAAACCTACTAAGGATTGGGGCAGGAGGTCTCAGAAGTTTTACACCAGCATGGGATTTGTGGGTATTAGTAGGTTGGTTCCTGGTCTCTTCATTCGTTTGTTATATTGTTTTTGATCGAATGAATTATGTCAAATTTTTGTTTTTCTATCATTTTTCAAATCCTAACCCAACTACACCCCTGCAGGTTTTTGGTGGTTTTTCTGAGTTTGCTCTCACTTGAATATGTGGCAGTGTCTTTCACAGAAACAGTCAAGAGTTCGGCGCCACTGTTCACAGTTGTCATATCCTGGCTGGTAGTTGGCGAGAGAAATGGCCTACCTGTTCTCCTGTCTCTCATCCCTATAATGTTAGGTTTGATGATGTGCACGCACTATGAAGCCAGCTACAACATGATGGGATTCATGGCTGCCATGGGAACCAACCTGGCTGAATGTCTGCAGTTTGTCCTCTCTAAAAAAGCCTTGAGTACTGACATCACGAAGACAACGTTCGTTCATTTGCTCCGTCAGTTTGCAAGCTCTGCTATAATTGAATGATAAACGTACAGATTTTCTGTCTGAAAAGTTAAATTTATCATTTGATTTTTAATAAATTGCCCCAATAACTACCACAAAACTGCAACCATCCAACAGACCTGCAGAATTTCAGTTCTACAGCTGTTTAGCATCAACAGTCATTCAACTACCAATATGTCTCTTCTTCATGGACTACTCAACTGCCTTCGACAGCACGACGATGCTGACGTTTGCATGGATGCTGGTCAATGGACTCATGTATCACGTGCAGACGATGACTGCCTGGGTCCTTATGGAGTATGTCAGTCCTGTCACTCACAGGTTTGTTGGTCGGTCGGTTGGTCTGTCGGTCAGTCGGCTGGTTGGTTGATTGGTTGGTTGGTTGGTTCGTTTGTGTTGTGTTCTTAGTGTTGGTTTGTTGTGTTATTGTGTTGGATAGTCTGGTGAGTTGTGGCATGTGTTTTGTTGTTGAATTAGTTGCTGATGTTATGAAAGTTATTGTTGTCGTTGTATTAGTTGTTTATGTTATAAAAATTGTTCTTCTTCTTATTGCTATTTTTATAGTCGTTATATTACTAACATGAAAACTCCCGCCACTGCTAATGCTTCTGCTGCCAATGATGATATTATTTTATGTCCAGCTGTTACTGCAATGTTATTGGCTAATTTTATGCTTTCGTCGATGGTGTGGATTTCTGAAGTTGATTATTGTTGTTGAGGCAGTCACCATACTCATCTATATAATCATCGTATTCATCCATCTCTCATTGGTTACTGAATGCTTTTATTATCTGTTTTATCATCTGTTTCATCATCATCATTAATTTTAATTTTATTACTCACTTTATTTTATTTTTCATAGTCCATTCACATTAAACTATTGCAATATTTTAAGATTGCTGTTGGATCAACAGACATACACAATTGTATACTTATTTTCACACACGCTCGCATACAAATACATACGCGCAAACATAAACCCACGCACACACACACACACACACACACACGCAAACACACATGCACAAACAAATCACTCGCCAGTGTATGCAACACGGTGAAGAGAGCAATGGCGATCTGGCTGTCCATCTACTTCTACGGCAACCCGGTGACCTTCTTGGGTGGGGTGGGCACTGTGGTGGTCATCCTTGGAGTCCTATTCTACAACAAAGCCAGGGAGCATGAACAAAATTCCTTCAAAGATAAGCAGAGACTGAGTGATAAGAAATCCTCCTACATACCTCTATCATCTCTCTCTTCATCATCTCCGTTGTCGAATTTGACGTCATCGGCATCATCGTCACCATTAGGTGACCAAGGTAATGATATTAGTGTCAAGGTCAAACGAACGAATGGCAGTGGTAGTGCTGGTAATAACTACACTAGCAGTATCGATAAGAGTGTTGGTGACAAAAATTATTGTCATCGATATAATATAAGCGATGACCAGCATCATAATCATCATCATTACCCACAGTACGATGCTAAGCAGGGCAGTAAGATGCAACATTTGGATGATTTTGTTTGATGCTTCTATTGATTAACATCATAAAATTATACATTATGTGTATATATAATATATATATATATAATATAATATATATACATAATATATAATATTATATATATATAATATATACACGTATATATTATATATATATAATGTATACGTGTATATGAAATGGGTATTAGTATATAAAGGTATTTGTAATCAATATAATTGTTTTTATGCATTCATGTATCATTTTTGTACATAAACTTAAGTGTGTGCGTGTGTGTTTGAATTGTGTGTATGTTTAAATTGTGTGTATGTGTGTGTATGTGTGTGTGTGTGTGTGTGTGTGTATGTATGCGTTCATGTAATTATATGTGTATTTATGATTTATGTACGTATCTGTATTTATTTATTTTTCTGAATGTTTGTGTGCATTTTTTGTGCGGGAAGATATGCAAGCCTTGGCCAAAACGCACACTTGAGATTTTGAACTGTAACAAAACACCAACTGAACTGCGATTTCATTGATTAGATTGCATCAGAATACTTTTATACAATTTGTTTTATTTCTTTTCTTGTCTTTCCTTCATTCGCATTACTCAATGTCTTCATCATTATCAACGAAATCGTCATCTCCATCCTTGTCTTCGTTTATGTCATTGTTATCATATTGTTAGTCGTCTATAATCATCGTCATCATTTCTGTGAGCGCACGTACCGATATATAACCATGATATAATGATTCATCATTGCCATTCTTAATCATTCTTACATTCTTAATCATTTTTACTCATCATTTTCACCTCATAGTCATGTAAGTGTAAAGATGGCATAATGGTTAAAGGTTCCTGATCCTGTTTTGCAGTGTCTGGGTTCGATTGCTTGGAGAGATTTCTGTTTTATGTGCAATGTGTGACTTCACTTGCACGCTGTGTGTGTATGTAAGTGATTGTGTGTGTGTGTGTAAGAGAGTGAGTGTGTGAGTGTCTATAGGCGAGTGAGTGTGTATAGGTGAGTGAGTGAGCAAATAAGTGAATGTGTGTGTGTGTGTGTGCATGCGTGTGTGTGTGTGTGTGTATTGATACTTCTGGAAAACACATAAACAAGTATATGGTTTATTAAAGTTTAAATAAACTAAACGTCATCATTTTCATCATATTTCAATTATCTTTTTATTCATTAATTTTCAATCAATAATTTTTCTTATACAAATATCATTGTCATCATCACCACCAGCTCACTCATTCTATCATTGATACATTTCATCATCTTCTTTGTTTGCTGTTTGATTTATAAATATATTTATTTATTTATTTTATTTGTTTATTTATTAAGCTAATGTTCATATCATTCATTCCCAATTATATTAATTATAAATATTATTTATTATTATTTTATTTTTATTACTGTTAAATACAAGTCAATAATAAGAATAATAATAATAATTGTTGTATATATATATATCAAATATATATTTAGCTAGTATCGATATGTTTTCATTATGTCATGTCGAGATTTCTTTCTGTGTGTATATATTTATACTGCTGCCATGTACACACACACAGACACGCACAGCACACACTTGCACACACACACCACACACACACACACACACATACTTCTTTAATGATGTATATTATTATTTCTTTAACTTTAGGATAGGCTATCCTATGTTATTTGTCGGTAATTATTTTCCACTCAATTTTTTGATTATATTTAACTACTAAGATCAACTGTCCTAGCGTTGAAACAGTACAACCCACGACGACAATTAATCGCTTAAATGCAGTACAACATTCACGATACACTAAATAACAAAAACAATCTAACCTTAATATGGATTTCGAGCCGCATTGGAGTTGAAGTTAACGAAAGAGTAGATTAATTAGCGACGCAAACTCGCTTGGAATTTTCCATCGATCCTTCCAATACCAATACCACATAAGGGCATAAGAGTGAAGACAAACGACCTCATGTACGAAAAATGGCAAAAAGAATGGAACAGGGTAACGAATTTTCTCAAAGTAGTTATGCCCGAGTTAAATGAATCCAAAAATGTCAAAATCAATGAGTCGAAATAACCTGAACATGATCAATAGATTAAAAATCGGACATTCCAAAATAAACAATTCATGGATGGATATTAAACAAAACATGCCATCCACGTTGTGAGAAATGCAGTGCTAAACTACTAACAATCCAACACGTATTAATAGAATATCAAACATATAATGAAAGCAGGAAAAATACCAAATTTCAGAAGATGTACACTCGGAAATGTATATGTTTACAATTATACATGTACTTAAAAGTGAGAACGAAGTAAGCCTAACATCATACGTTAAGGAAATAAACATTTTCAACAACATCTAATCACCCTGCTTATGAAAAAATTTGCAACAAAGACCATGGGCCTATCAGAGTTGAAACGACGCAAAACTGCTGAAGAAGAATTAACTATTACATTTTATTTTACAATTTTTGTAAACGTTTTGAATTAAATATATATTATATATAATATGTTGTTGAAGGATTTATTGGGTTGTTTATTTATGATTTACATTCGTTACATATGTTGTAATTTATGTTTTTGATGTTGTGGTTGATGTTGTTGCTGTTGTGGTTGTTGCTGTTTGTTATTGTTATTGTTGTTGTTGTTTTTGTGGTTGTTGCTGTTGTTATTGTTGTTGTTATAGTATGTAATATCAGACGATGACAGTTGAAAAATATGGTGTTGTATTTTTTAAATGTTTTTTTTCTCTATCACGAAAGCCAAATTCGTGTGCGAGTGTATGTGTTTGTACGTATGTTTGTGTATGTGTAAGTTTGTGTGTGTGTGTGTGTGTTGGTGTGTGTATGTGTGAGTGTTTTTATATGTGTGAGTGTGGTGTGAGAGAAAGAGACTGCACGCGCGTGGTGTATGTGTGCTGTAGTTTTTCTACCCTCGTTCACCTCGTACACATTTGTTGGTATTTTTTTATTCACAATACTATCCAGAGGGTAGCAGACCACTTACCCACCCAGAATAGTAAAAGGAAAATCTGATTTCCACAAAAATGTAACGTAACGTCGTGAGAAATCTGCAGATCTCGATATCTAGAAACAGATATCTTTCAAATGTACCGACGCTTCTTCGCAACTTCTTCTTTGTGTGCGAGTGTGATAAAGTGGTTTTATACTTTCTTTTTTTTACTTTATTATGCAGCTCTGGCATACGCAGAACCGCTTACATATCATCCCTATAATGCATTGCGTGTGTTTTGCTTCGAAATGAGTGAATCACTTGCCTGATCTGTTTGTTTCCTTGCTTCATACTTGTGATAACTTTTGATTTACTAACATAATGCTGAGGTTTTTTATACTGGGTTTTTTTATGTTAGGCGCTATACAAATCACTAAATCATGGTTTGTACTAGATGATGACGTCAACGATGATTTTGATGACGACGATGACGAAGAAAATGATGATAGTGTTGATAGTACCGACAACGAAAATCCCTTTTTTATATAATCTATGTGTTGCCTTGTTGATTATTGAGATGAAACGATAAATTATTCAGTGTACACAGTCATTTATCAGCCGATTGATCGCCTGCTTATGTCCTGATGGGTATCATTTATCAAATTTTTTTATCAAAATCCTTCGCTCGTACTCAAATATGCGTGTACATATGCATATATATGTACACATCTGTATACACCAGTCTGATCTGTACCAGTACACGTCCATATATTTTACGTGCATGCACTTGTATACAAATATGCACTTGTATACAACACATGAAAATGCAATTTTATCCATGTGTATCTCATACGTTTATACATTCTTAAATGTTTAACTTTACTAGATACATCTGGATAAAAACATTTCTTGTTTGGTTTTATTTGTGTATTCTTGCACTACACCGGGCACGCACTCACACACATATATACACACACACATACACTAAACATTCAGATATTTGTATGTAATGTCCGTATATATATATGTGTGTGTGCATGTATGTATGTTGTGTGTATCTGTGTATGCGAGCTTATGTGTATGTACAGTACACGCATACAGAATAGACAGACCTTACATGGGGGTACATAGATAATTCAATATATTCAATAATAACGGGGAAGATAAACATCCACTGTTTTTTTGAACGGTTTGATCAAGACAATCTTTTTTTTGGTTTGTAGTTTTTTTTGTTTCGGTTTCTTGTTTTTTTTCTTCAGATGTTTGGTTGTTTTTTTTTATGTTTTTTTGTTATTTTTCAGTCTCCTTTTGTTTGCCCAACTGATGATTTTCTTCTTTATTTTTTGTTATTTATTCATCTTTTTCCTTTATTTTTTGCTTATTCAGTAATGATTTCATTTATTTTTAATTAATCTTATTTATTCCTTTCAATTATACACAAACACTCACATACTTATATATTCACAGACACACATACATACACACGCATACATACATACATACACATCCTACCATATCAATTTTAACTGAAAATATTTAACCCAATCCATGTAACTGAAAATTTTGACACTGAATTATTACTTAAATTTATCATCTTTTTACCTTGTTTTTATTTATTAACCCGCGTATTTCTACAGTTCAGTAACTTATTGCTGATAAAAATATCTCGCAAAAGTAGTCTCGTTGTTATTTCGCTGGGCTGATGTGGGGAAAAACTTCCCTACGATATTCGTTTCTACATTTA